TGAACTATGGGTTTAATTCAATCCTTATAAAAACTCAGTGAGATTTGTGGAGACATAGACAAGCTTAATTTAAAATTTTAATGAAAATGCACAAGGCCTAGAATAGCTAAAACTCTCTTTATAAAGAACAATAAAATGGGAGGAATGATTCAATGAAACATTATAACTTACTGTATAGTTATAGTAATAAAGAGTAGGTGGTATAGGTGGAGAGCTTGACATATGGATTAATGATACAAGATAGAGAGCCCAGAAATAGAGTCACATAAACATGCACAATTGATTTTTTGCAAAGGTGCAAAATCAGTTCAATCCAGAAAAGATAACCTTTTCAACAAATAATGCTGGAGTAATTGAATATTCATAGGCAAGAAAAAAAATATTTGATCTAGACCTCACTCTTACACAAAAATTAATTCAAACTTAATTAATGAACTCAAATGTATAACATAAAGCTATAAAACTTTTAGAAAAGTAAGGTAGGAGAAAATAATATTCAGGATCTAGAGCTAGACAAAGAATTATTAGAATTGATGCCAAAATGCAGAATCCATAAGAAAAAAATATCAGAAATTAAATCCATCAAAATGTAAAATTTTTGTTATGTGTAAGGTCAGGTGAAGATGAGGAAAAGATAAGCTCCAGACTGAGAGAAAATTTGTTCAAAATGCATATCTGAAAAAGGGCTAGAATCTAAAATATAAAAAGACTTCTCAAAACTCAACATTAAAAAAATGCAGTTAGAAAATAAGCAAGAACATGAAGAGACATTTCACCTAACAGGATATACAAATAACAAGTACATTAAGAGATATTCTCGACCACTAACTATTAGGGAAGTGCAAATTAAAACCACAATGAGATATCACTACACATATATCAGACAGACTAAAATAAAAAGTAGCAGCGAAACCAAATGCTGGATACAAAAAACTGGATCATTTCTGCATTGCTGATGGGAATGTAAGATAGTGCACCAAATCTGGAAAAGTTTGGTAGTCTAATAAAAGCATGCAATTATAATATGACCCACTATTGGGCTCTTGTGCTCTTCTTGGTAATAAAATCTTACATTTCTAAGAAAATCTGGTATGCTAATATTCCTAGAAGCTTCATTCAAAATAGCCAAAAACTGGAAACAGATCAAATATTTCTCAATGGGTGAATGGTTACACGTATCTACTAAGCAATAACGTAGAATGAACTCTTGATACACACAACAACTTTGATGAATCTCCAGGAAATCATGCCAAGCAAAAAAATTCAATCCCCAAAGTTTGCATGCTGTATGATTCCATCTATGTAACACTTTTGAGATGACATTTTAGAAATGAAGAACCGATCACTAGTTACCAGGGGTTAGAGATAGTTATAAAAGAACAACACAAGGGAACCTTGTGTTGGAACCGTTCTGTGTCTTAACTCTGGTAGTGGATGCATGAAGTTGTACATCACAAAATTGTGTAGAACTGAATAAATACACACACACAATCACAAATGAGTGTAACAAGTAAAACTTGGCAATTTTGAACAAGATTGATGAATTATATCAATTTCAGTATCCTGGTGTGCTATTGTACTATAGTTTTGCAAGACGTTATAATTTGGGGAAACTGCCTTTGATTATAATGATCTCAAAAAAATTAAAATTTTTTTCTCAAAACAAAAAAAAGAAAAAAGAAAACATATTCCCCAAAGGAATCCTTGGATACCTTTTTGCCTTAATGTGCAAGAAAGTCTTTACAATGTAAGCGCTGATGATGAAGACAAGCGAAGAGCAAGAAGGCTGTTCCTCATTAATATCTTCTAACTCTTCCTTTTTTCCAGATGCCCCATGTTGTCTTCTGGTCTTCCATCTTCCTGAATGATTCTTTTTTCTCAAACTCTTCAGTGATATCTTTTTTCTTTTCCTGTAGATTCAGATGGTCTTTAAGACTTCATATTCAGATTCTGTGCACCCACAGTCATTCTCTGTGTTGTCTTCCAAAGCTTAAGGTTTCCAAAATGTATATCTCCAGGCCTGAATCCTCTCCAGAACCCCAGACTTTCAGCTCTAGCTGCCTTCCTGACATGGCCATTTGGGTATCTAATCATCTTCCTCTCATGATAGTCAACCTTCTTCCCCAAACCTGCTCCCCTTCAAGTGTTTCCAACTTATGAAATTGCATCATTAATCCCAGTCCAAAAGTACCATCTTTGACTTCTACTTTTCTCTCTTTTACATTTCTCTCACTTATTTAAGCAATGAATCCTTTTGACTCAACTTTCAAAATGTATTCTACACCAGACTAATTTTTGCAGACTTCCTGTCTTAGTCAACTTCAGGTGCTGTAACAAAATACCATAGAATGGGTGAATTAAACAACCACATTTATTTCTCACAGTTCTGGAGGCTGAAAAGTCCAAGATCAAGGTGCCAGCAGATTTGGTGCCTGGTTAGGGTCCTTTTCCTGGAAGGCAGATGACCATCTTCTGGCTGTATCCTAATATGACAGGGACTGGGGATACAGAGGCAGGAATAAAGAGAGAGAGAGAGAGAGAGAGAGAGAGAGAGAGAGAGAGAGAGAGAACTACTGGAGGCTGGAGTGAAGCCATCTTCCACAGCTGCACCTCTCAGCTGCCCATGGCTCAGAGCTTCCACAGGAGGAGGGACCAGGCAGGATGGGGAGAGAGAGAAGAGGCTTTTGTGTCACCCTCTTCTCTTGCTCAAAAGGTTCAATTTGTCAGCAAAGGTCCTCCCAGGACTGGCGGAATTGCTCTGAAGGGCTTGCCTCCCAATTGTGGCAGTACAGCCTTGGGGTTTAGGGTTTCAACATATGTGGGGGACACAAGGCAAAACCTCCCCTACTACTGCCTCTACTCTGAACCATTTTCATCCCTCTGAGTCTCACTATAAAATCCACTACAGCTGGTCCACATACATATTCCACTCTTGCTCCTCTAGAGCTTCTGTCAACAGCCAGTGTAATGGTTGGCTTTAAAATGTAAAAGTCAGATTATGCGACTCCACCTGTAGAAAACCCTCCAGTGGTACCTGCTCACACATGGAATGGGAAATCAGACTCCACATCATGGTCTGAGTGATTCTATTTACGTGATTATCAATATTGGATGCATGTATTATAATATGCTGAGCTGATGCCCAGGTAAGGTGATTAACCATTTTGGTTTACTTAGGACGGCCCTGCTTACGGAGTTTCCATGTACAAAGAAATCCTCTGTTTTGGGCAAACTGGGACAGTTGGTAAAGAGAGAGAGAGAGAGAGAGAGAGAGAGAGAGAGAGAGAGAGAGAGAGAAGCACACTGTGGTCTCACCCTCTTCTTATAAGGATACCAATTCCATCATAAGGTCCTCAGGAACTCATCTCAATGGAATTACCTCTCAAAGGCCTTGCCTCCCAATTGACATTACCTTGGGGTTTAGGGTTTCAACATATGTGGGGACACAAACAAAACACTCCCCTACTACTACTCTACTCTGAACCATTTTCATCCCTCCCTGGTCTCACTATAAATCATCTGACTGGTCCCTTATATTCCACTCTTGCTCCTCTAGAGCTTCTGTCAACAGCCAGTGTAATGGTTGGCTTTAAAATGTAAGTCAGATTATGCCACTCCACCTGCTTAAAACCCTCCAGTGGTACCTGTCACACATGGAATGAAATCAGACTCCACATCATGGTCTGAGTGATTCTATTTACGTGATTATCAATATTGGATGCATGTATTATAATATGCTGAGCTGATGCCCAGGTAAGGTGATTAACCATTTTGGTTTGCCCAGGACCATTACAGCACCGGAAGTTCCATGTACAAGAAATCCCTCTGTTTTGGGCAAACTGGGACAGTTGGTAACTGTAGGGCAGGCCACACATCAGACCCAATAAATCAGAATCTTTTGGTGTCCAATTCAGGTGAAAGTATACGTATATTTAAAGATCTCCAGTTGATTATAATGTGCTGCCAAATTTCAGAACCATCGCTTCAAAACAGTGGCCTCTAAACTACAGCTCAAAGCACCAAATCATGTCTGTCTTCTGGTTTTGGAGTTTATCTAAAATATATCCATGCTAATTTGTTTATGTGTAGTTTATGACTGCTTTCTAGTTACTGACGCAGAATTGACCTGTTGCCCACAAAGCTAAAGTATTTCCTATCTGGCTCTTAACAGGATAAGTTTGTTCTAAATGATCTGGCCACTGGCTTGTTCCCCAACTTATCTGATTAAGGAGTTTTCCACACAGACCTCTCTTGACCACCATGTATAAAACAAAATAAAATATTTCCAAATGCATGCTCTGCTTTATTTTTTATTATCACCTAAACTTAAATCACAGTTTTATTAAATTTGTTTTTGTCTATCTCCCCCACTAGAATGTAAACTCTGAGGATAGCCTATTTCTTTTTGCATTTTAAAAATTGATATATCATAGTTGTATATATTTTGGAGGTATATGTGATATTCTAATAAATGTGTAATGTGTAGTGATCAAATAAGGGTATTTGGGATTGGGATATCCATCATCTTAAATATTTATCTTTGTATTGAGAATATTACAATTCTTCTCTGCTAGCTATTTTGAAATATACAATAAATTATTTTAAACTATAATTTCCCTACTGTTCTATCAAATACAAGAACTTATGTTCACTGTTGTCTCTCCAGTTCCTAGTACAAACATTGGTACCTTTCAGATGTTATATAGACAAGTATTATACAAATGCATGAATGTCTCTGTACTTATGAAAATGGCTCTGCATGAAAATGACTTCCTTTCCTTATCTGTCTGGGAAACATGTTCCTTCCTTTAATAATCTACTGACATAGGGTGTCATCTGTGACCTTTCTCTGACTCACATTTTTGTCCTAACCCCTCCATTCCTGTTCTGGTTTCATATGTGTGCATGTACCAATTTTCCCTCCTAGATCTACTATCATTTTTATCTTGGATGATCAATGAGCTCCTTATATATAAATTGTCAAGGCTTCCATATGCTTATTTCTTCACATGTTTGTATTCCACTTAGCTATTCCAGTAACTGCCACATTTTTGACCCTACTACAAAGTTTGAGAAAGAAAGAAAGAAGAAAGAAAGAAAGAAAGAAAGAAAGAAAGAAAGAAAGAAAGAAAGCAGCAACTGTAGGGCAGGCCACACATCAGACCCAATAAATCAGAATCTTTTAATTGTCCAATTCAGGTGAAATATATCATTATATTTAAAGATCTCGAGTTAGTTATAATGTGCCAAATTTCAGAACCATCGGCGCTTCAAAACAGTAGCCTCTAACTACAGCTCAAGCACCAAATCATGTCTGTCTTCTGGTTTCGTTTTATCTAAATATATCCATGCTAATTTGTTATATTGTGGTTTATGACTGCTTTCCTAGTTACTGGCCTTAAGAATTGACCTGTTGCCCACAAGCTAAAGTATTTCCTATCTGGCTCTTAACAGGATAAGTTTGTTCTAGTGATCTGGCCACTGGCTTGTTCCCCAACTTATCTGATTAAGGGAGTTTTCACACAGACCTCTCAGCCTACCATGTATAAAACAAATAATGTTTCAAATGCATGCTCTGCTTTATTTTTATTATCACCTAAACTTAAATCACAATTTTATTAAATTTGTTTTTGTCTATCTCCCCACTAGAATGTAAACTCTGAGGATAGCCTATTTCTTTTTGCATTTTAAAAATTGATATATCATAATTTATATATATTTTGGAGTATATGTGATATTCTAATAAATGTGTATTAGTAGTGATCAATAAGAATATTTGGGATTGGGATATCCATCATCTTAAATATTTATCTTTGTGTGAGAATATTACAGTCTTCTCTTACTAGCTATTTTGGAAATATACAATAAATTATTTTAAACTATAAATTTCCTACTCATTCTATCAAATACAAGAACTTATGTTCACTGTTATCTCTCAGTTCTAGTACAAACATTGGTACCTTTCAGATGTTATAGACAAATGTGCCAAATGCATGAATGTCTGTACTTGAAAATGGCTCTGCATGAAAATGACTTCAGCACCATATACCTCTGGGAAACATCTTCCTTCCTTTAACAATCTCTGACATAGGTGTCATCTGTGACCTTTCTCTGACTCCATTTTGTCTATGCTCCCTCCCATTCCTGTTCTGGTTTCATATGTGTGCATGTACCAATTTTCCCTCCTAGATCTACTATCATTTTTATCTTGGATGATCAATGAGCTCCTTATATATAAATTGTCAAAGCTTCATATGCTTATTTCTTCACATGTTTGTATTCCACTTAGCTATTCCAGTAACTGCCCGCATTTTTGACCCTACAAAGTTTGAGAAAGAAAGAAAGAAGAAAGAAAGAAAGAAAGAAAAGAAAGAAAGAAAAAGAAAGAAAGAAAGAAAGAAAGAAAGAAGAAAGAAAGTTAGTTAGTTGGATGGAAGAGGGAAGAGAAAGAAAAAAAGGAAAAGGAGTTATGGCTATGATACCTTTATTTTCTAAGAATCATAATATTTTCTATTATAAACAATAATAAAAATTTTTGTTATTATTTCTGTCCCTCTTCACAATATGTGTGCTTCCTCTCTTAACTTTTAGATTTCAATATTTCTTTCTATTATATCAATTGATTCAGGATGTTACTTAAAAGAGTCGACTTGCATAGCTTAGGAATGTGGACTTTAGATCTATTAATACTTTGATTCCTATCTCGGTCATTTACTGGCTACCTGACTTTGACCAAGTAACAATATTCTGAGTGTCATTTCTTCATCCAATAAAACAAAACTCATAAAGTTGCTGTCAAGATCAAATGTAATTATATCCTAGCAAGAAAGAAAGAAAGAAAGAAAGAAAGAAAGAAAGAAAGAAAGAAAGAAAGAAAGAAAGAAAGAAAGTTAGTTAGTTGGATGGAAGGAAGAAGAGAAAGAAAAAAGGAAAAAAGGAGTTATAGCTATGATACACCTTTATTTTTCTAAGAATCATAATATTTTCTATTATAAACAAATAATAAAAATTTTTGTTATTGTTCTGTCCCTCTTCACAATATGTGTGCTTCCTCTCTTAACTTTTAGATTTCAATATTTCTTTCTATTATATCAATTGATTCAGGATGTTACTTAAAAGAGTCGACTTGCATAGCTTAGGAATGTGGACTTTAGATCTATTAATACTTTGATTCCTATCTCGGTCATTTACTGGCTACCTGACTTTGACCAAGTAACAATATTCTGAGTGTCAATTTCTTCATCAATAAAACAAAACTCATAAAGTTGCTGTCAAGATCAAATGTAATTATATCTAGCATATAATATTTCTTAAATAATGTCAACTGTAATTGGTATTATTTGTGATTAACTTATAACTTATCAGAGTGAGATAATTCTACATGGAACTTATTTCTTAGATTTTTTTCTCTGCCAATGGCATTCAGATAAAAGCATAAGAGTAAGATTTAAGCTAAACTTGTTTTGTACCAGAAATAAAAAAAAAATAAACAAGCGTTTTAATGTTTTCTGAATCTATGTTTTTCCAAAATATTTATTTGGAAAATAATTTGTTCTGCTAGATTTTGCTGTTAGATGCATCATGGCACTAATCTTTCTGGCTCTTTCATTTTTAAAGCTCATTTTTATTATTCTTTCAGCTCATAAATTTCATATCATCCATAACATTTTCTGTTTCCAAACAGTGCAAAATTTTATTCAATCATTACTGAATTAGGCTCCACAATGCAAAAGAAACCCAGGATTAATTTTACTGCTTATGGGAAAGTATTACCTTTGATAGGATCCAGGGGTTACATAAGTATCAGATTCTCTCCTCCATATGTCAGAAAAAAATAGTTTATACCTCTTCCTCTATCCCCACAACCAGTCTTGATAAATTTTCTTGATTCTCCAAGAAAAAAAGAGTGTACATACTTTTTTAAATACTGTTTTTATATTTAAAAACTAGATGTATAATTCATTCAGATATTGCTTCTACATAAAAGTAACAAAAAAACACTGATTATATGTTCTTTTCAGCTAACTGGCCATCTATAATATTTTTCCAGTAGAACTTTGGATGTTAAAAAGGCAACTTAAAAAATACACACATACACACACACACACCCACACCCACCCCTGTCTGTCTCTATATATATATAGTGTGTGTGTGTGTGTGTATATATATATATAGCATTATAATGATGCTGTTAGTTCTTATATTCTTTTTTTTTACTACCAATTTTTGAAATGAATACATGTGGAAAGTATTCCTGAAAATAACCAACAATAGAAAGAATACATTTAAACACTTCAAGGAACAATAATGAAAAACCTTGTTAGTCACCTATTTTACAGCCAAGAAGAACACAAATTGAAAACAGTTCAAAGACAGAGTTGACAGTTAATGCTGACTCCCCTGAGAGTTTATAAGAACAGAAAAGCTCTTCCTATTTGTGTGGCATTATATCAATATTTAGTATAATTTAGTGTGACACAAATACAGATCTTCATATTTTCCTTTTCTGAAAAGCCTCTATATTGTTTAAATATCATGTTGAACTAGACTGTAGAACTCTCTAAATTGGCTAAGTGGTTCTACAATAGTGCAACTGAATCTAGGCTGCCAAGCAAGTGCCAACTCAGCATGATTTCTGAATAGTTGGTAAATGAAGCTTCAACATTCTGGGGTTTTAAATGAAAGCACTCTCTTAACAGAAATTATCTCAGAATTACATGTCTGTTACAATAACAATTTTAGAAAAAAATACTTTGATATTGAAAGAGAAAAAACAAATATTGATTAATTGATGAAAAGGTAATAATTGAATGTTTTCAGTTAATGTAACATTCGTTATGTTACCTTTTATGGGAAATGTAGAAGAAGAATATACTAAAAGCAGATACCATAGATCCATTTTTTCTTAATGGTATTTTAAAAAATAAACAAAACATGGTGAGACCAAATGGCATTCCCAGGAAAGACAAAGCTAAATCGCATCATTCATGTTCTCTCGTGGTGTCAAGTTCTTTTAGGGGAAGCTCTAAGATTTCTCCTATCTAGAAAGGAAGGGATCTGATCAATTCACTCACAGTAAGAATTTCTCTCTGATAAGATTTATTTTTAAAACTAAGAGAAATGATTAAATCATGACAATAAATCCCTAGTGATAAAAGCCGTGGAACTCAGGAACTCGGAAGTAGAGGGTGTGCCTGACCTATGTGCTTTAGTAGCTCTAACCATCACTCTTTCCTAGCCATGAGTGGCTAGCTGTGGAAAAGGTATTATCATGGACAGGGAGAACCAGAAGCAGAACTCCTGCTATCACAGCTTTAGATATGGAAGCCCCAGGAGGGGAAACATGTAACTGTCTGAATCATGACAGCAAATAAAATATAATGTATAAATACACAGCGAATGGTGAAATATGCAATAGAACTGTCTTTTCTGAAAGTGTAAACATGAAAATCTTTTATCTGGAGAGAAACCCAGAAAACAAGGATAAAGTGTCAGCATCTTCACCTGAAGGGAATCCTCTACTTTCACGTCAGTGTATGCCTTTCCAACCATAATACCTCTGCACGACCTCTCTGTGTGTATCTTTGTGCATGGCATCCCAGGTGTGGGATAAATTGTGTGCCATTTATTTAAATGTTACTATTCATGATTTGAATCCACAGATGACACCTGATTAAGTGCCTTCTTGGTGCAAATGGGGGAAGGTCAGTTATTTATGTCCAATACTCCATGCCCAGTAAAGCTTAAGGGACTGAATTATTTTGATAAACAAGTATATATTTCAGGCAATGTGCTAGGAAATCCAAAGATGAATATGATAGGATTACTGTGTTGTTTGACATTCTCAAATTCTTTCTGAGGATAGACACAATAGCAAAAACAATATGAAACACATTTACTAAACAATAAGAAAGATTTACTAAACATATATTTATTGAAAAAATATTAATTTGCTTAAAGAAGTCAGGAATACTTAACAGAGCAGGTGATTTTGAAAACTCTTATAGGAAAAATGTAACTATTTAATGCATACTATGTTTTTGTAGTAATTTGGATGTTG